CATCGATCAAGCGATGTGCGCCTCGTGGAGTTGGTACCGACTGAAACCGGGAGAAGTGTTGAAACCATTCTCCTTCTGGATGATCCAACTGGGAACTGGGGCACCCCCAATCTATCATGCACTTTTCAGCTAGAAGAGGCGGCTCCCTTCTCTCAAGCATTATTTCCTTCCACTAGCTGAGGAACGCGTGTGGAACAAGAACCCTCGATGACCTCCACACAATCCCACGCATGACATGCCCGAACGTGGGCGGGCAGGATGATCTCATTTTATTTCCAAGGTGTGTTGGTAGGGGGGTCACGCTGGTTTCCCAGCTCAAGGAATGGTCCGGCCCTGATCCCATCAAATAAGTATAATTTTGTTGCAGCCTCAACGACTGAGCCAAATTGAGAGCGAGGAAATGGCTAGAAACTTGAACAAATGGGGCAAAACCGGGATTGCAGGCCAGGGGGGGGGGTAGAAAGTGGCCTGGCACCGCCCTCTTGGAAAGCGGCATCTTACGGTTTATCAAACCCAAAAGGCTGCAAAAATCAAGCCGCCGACGTGTTATGATTAATGCCTGATTCGGACATGGCACTACCAGGTTCGACCAAACAAACAGACCACCAAGACCATAACAAACCAAGTAAAGAGCATGCAACCCAGCAACACCTCGACAACACCACTCCCGCAACACACTCCCACCTCCCCGGCGCGGGAAGCCGAGGGCACTGCCACCACCCCAGGGGGCGAGATCCAGCCAAGGTGGGACCCGAAGTAGGCCACGTCGGATCCTTCGCAGCCTTGCGAGTCATCCCGGAGTCCCAACTGATGTGGGAATTTGTCCACACACACAGGATTTGACAATATCGCCTGTTCCTAACATAAACTCACTTGCCCAAAAGACCTGGAAATAAGGGGTTAACCTTTTAAGATCATGACTATAAATGGACCAAACTGGGAAAACCAAAAGGTCAAAAGGTTGGCTTTGGACAACTCAGTAGACATCGTTGCATTCTGTTCTGGCCCTGCAGTCCCCGACAAACAGGCCAGATTTCTGCTCTCCTTGGGCCTGTGGTTCGAGCATCGTTGACAAGCAACTGGCCCAAGACCCAGAAAAGTCCACTTTGACCAAACGAACTTTGCGTTGCTTCACCCTCCTACCCACTCTGAAACCAGGCCCCTTCAAAAGGCTTGGTCTATAGTGAGGCTCCATGTGGGTAAACAATCAGAAACTAGCTTTGCACGTCTCACAACCGCATATTCAGGGGCCCACGTCATGTAGGCCTCATCGGGGTCCAAATCCCTTGTCTTATACTGGCCATTGAGGCTATAGATGGGTGTAGAGTCCTCAGTGCACGGTGCAGACAAGGCGACTCACAAGCTTCTCTTTGCGCTCGCCCTCATTGTCAATGAACCGGATGGTGAGGTAGCCGTTGGCATTCTTCACCACCAGCCCCACAAACCATGCCGAGGAGGAATGGGAAAAGATCTCGACCACCGCAGGTACATCAGAAGGATCCAAATTACTCATGCTGTTTGAGCCCGAATTCTGCGGTCAGTCGTCTTAGCTCCTAAGGAGTGTGGCATACATGTTCACAGGCAACGACGTGGCACTGGTGCTTCCGCTGACCACATAAGCGACGGACAACCTCCTTGCATGGGTCATGGCCGTTGCCTCAAACAGAATCCTTATTTGTCCAATCTCTGGATTGGACAGTTGATTGCTCCTGGCAATGGCAACTTCACATTCTAGGGGGTGCCCGAACCCTACAAAACAAGTCATTTCGCCAAACCAAAACCAACTGGGAGGTTGTGCAACCTGGGTGCGGCAGCATATGGAATTCTGAGAGTGGCCTCCATAGCCATTGTGGGAATGTCTCCTTGCAACTTGCAACACGTTCTTTTACTTTGCCTCGTGTCCAAGCGCACGTCGCTTCCGCCCCGAGCCCGCCTTGGCCGTGTTTCCAGCATGGCCTTCGGCATTGCCGGCGCCGGCTCTGGGGCCGTGGGCTCAGCGGGCTCAGCGGCAGGCTCTGCGGGCTCCGGCGTCGACTGGGGCGCTTTGGGGCTCGGGCTGAGGTTCTCCTAAGTCGACCGGGCGCAATTGCGGCAATTGGCACATGTTCCGCTCTCTCCGCTCTCCGCTCTCCTCGATCTCCACTGAGTCTTCCAGAAGGCGCTCGAAGTCCTTGCGAGGCTTTGAACCCCGGCTCGCAAGCGACAGCTTCAGGATCCCAGTGCAAGGATATACGCCCAAAAATCACCCGTATAGATGTAGAAACCCTTCAAAACAGCGGGTAACGGTTGCTTTGAATTTGGCCAACATGTATCCTTGGACCCGCTCGCCCGTTTAAACCGTTTGCAGCTAAGGTGCTGCCTCCGCAGTGACGAGGCGGCCTCGGGTCTCAACACGGACTGACGTTGTTGGATTCCTTGGCCCCTGGAAGCAAAGGTAGAGTAATGGCCTCTAAACAGGGAAACTGAGAGGAAATCAAGCCAACCTTGTGCCCGTGCGCCTTGATCGTCTGTAGAGCCCGCTTTCAAACAACTCGTAAAACACAAACTGTCTCCAAACCCTATATGCTGGACTCCCACATCAAGCGGGGAATGGGGAACAAGGAATTTGTAGTTAAATGATGGTAACTGACATTTTGCTTCGACTGGTTTCCTTGAAATGGTTCGGGAACCGCAAACTTCAGGCGGAGGCGATGAGGGAAATTCCACTTTCTTCCTAATTCCTATTATAGGCTTCCCTTGAATGGAGCAACGAGTCCAAGATTCCGAAGGCCAAGGGCCACCCCGCTCTCCCCAACTCATTGGGAGGGTGACCTCGGCAGCAAAAACACATAACACAACCTCCCCCCCAACCCCAAAACAAACCCTACCCCAAACAGAGACAAAGCCTCTTCAAACAAGAAGTGGACCTCCCCCCCGACAGAAAGCACCTAATCCAAGTGCGGTGCCGGGGTGGCTGTCCTCCGAAAGCAGGGACACCCCAGGGTCCAAGTCCATGCCTGGCGCCGCTTCAGCCTCTTCAGAACCAATTCGACTGGGAAGCAAACAACACCTCTGGTGGAACTTGCTCGCCTGGCGGGCAACAACCCATCTGCTGTGGGGCACAAAACAACTCTGAAAAGGAACGGCCTGAAAGCCGTGCACAGCGCAGGAATTGAACGAGGCTGGATGGCCGTGACTCATGTTTCTCCAAGAAAAAGAAACTCAACATCAAAAGGTTTGGCTAGGACTGCTCGAGCTCAAGATTGAGCCACAAGCCTGTTGTTTGTCTTCTTAGGTTTACTTTACTCAATGCATACATGCTAAACGCTCACCATGTCGGCAAAAATCGATTGAATGGAACAAAGCCATCGGCATTTGCACTGCTCGTGCTCGAGCTGTTCAAGGTTTATAATTAGTAATCAAGACAAACACATCGTCGCTTGTACAGAGGTGAGCATCCATGGTCCTACGCTAATTGTTTGAATGCCTAGCATCATCGCACCTGTTTATGCCACAGCCTTGATAAACTGGGGTGAACAAAAGCTTGGGAAAGGTGGAGAACAAAGTCAACTCCACGACGCGTGGCCGAATATGCATAGAGAAGCGAGCACATTGTCTTGACAAAAATGGTGTCGATACACCATTGCTCAGGAAGAATTATCCGTGACGCATTTTGACGGTTCTTTCCCACTGGCCGCATCTTGCTGCCTCTCGCATGATCGCACCTGCTTGAGGCAAAGCCTTGATCAACTGGGGCTGGGGAACATCGGGAAACAATCAGTTTCTTTGGGATTTCCTTTCGAGACGAATTGAACATGCTGGGCTATTGAACTCCTGAATTCCAGTCGTGTCACGCTATGCATAGAATGCACGGAGCTCAGGAAATTAGAGCGGCCGCTTTTATCTGTTGGTAAGCACGCCTGGACCCAGGAAGATCCCAGAAGGGTACCCTCAAAACATACAAAAGCACGCATAAGCACGCTCCACACACCGCACCGCACACCGAACACCACGCACCACCCACACACACATATACATTGCGGGCCGCGCCTCCGAACCCCCGGCCGAGTGGCTCAACCCAGAGCACTCGAGCCATCAAGAAGCAAAATGCATGGAGCGCGAGGTTTGAAGTTTGGGCCGTTTCCAGCGGTTTAAACATGTTTAAGCCAACATGTGTTTGCGAGCTCAGGTCTCTTTGCTAAAAGTGGCCATGGTAGGAGTAGAGTTAACTCTGCTCACACACTTGGACGGACGGAGGATTCCTGAAGGATGCCCTGCAAAACCCCAAGGATCTCTTCAAAAACCTTCATCAACCAAATCCACAAAGCCAATGAACACATGCGCATGAGCACAGCTGCTCTGAGCTGCAAGGCTAAGGGATTTGTGCTACACGAGGCTATTCAAAGGACACCAATTCACTGATTTTCCTTGGGGTTCGGTCATGTCTACGTGGCTCGGAGCAACCCTGGTCAAAAAGACAGGCACCAGCAAAAATAACTACGGAAGACCATTGCGCAAGTTGTATCCCCAGATCGCCATGCCGCTAATTACTCAATGAGGGTTGCATGTGCGTATGTGTATGTGTGCTTCTATGTTTCTTCGGCATCTGATTGCAAAACCAGGAGTTTTTGAGTCAGTTGGTTGAATGCCCCCTTTGTGGGGCCCTAGCTTTTAACAGTTGGCATCCCAGGCAATAAGGAAACAGGCCCCTGTCTATAGCATATATATATATATATATGTACATGCATGTGCATATATATATATATATGTTAATATATATATATGTACATGTGTGTATATATGTGAGTGTCATACGTATGGGCCTAGCCTGCGCAGTCCACCCCCCCACCCCCCCCAATAAACAAAAGTCACAGTCTTCGGGGCGTGTGGAAAGCTATCCACAGCCATCTTGCTGAATGCTTGCTTGGTACCGATCCCAGACAATATTTGGCTCAATCGATTCCAAGTAAATCATATCCTCCGACGTCGTCGTTTTCTCAGTGCCGCAACCTCGGGCGCCCGGCCCTTCCCCGAGCGGATCTTGGGCTCCGCAGTGGAGGGGCGCGCAAAGGTCCAGGCCTAGCGACTGAAAAGAACACAGGAAATAAAGGGGGATCACCGTTTGGGGATGACTCAAAACCATTCACAATTGGCATGAAGTGAATACTCCCTGATTAGCAAACCCCCAGCTGGTGGTTGCCTGCTGGTGAGTCCGATGCTTCTCCGACTTTTCGTGTGGGGGAACCCTCAAATGGTTGGTTTCCTTTGCCATTCTGGAGTGGGTTGGCCAAGCACAATGCTTGAACATCTCACTGAACATTTATTTCCTTTCAGTAAAACATGCACACACCTGACCGCTAGTGTGCTGGATACCTTTGTCTTGAAGAACGCCACTTGTCGCTTGGACAGTTGTCTGAGTTTGCAATGGAGGTTGCCAAAGTGTCACCTTCATCCCCTTGACTGGAAACAATGCAGGCCAGCTTGGTATAGTATACATGTTTGTCCTTCACTTTGCGAAGACCAATACATGTGCCATGACCAATCTCCTTCTGCCAACCGTCATGGCTTCCTGGGCATGGCCGGGTCAACCGCGCCCAAAGAACATCGGGAAGCTACTCTCCATTTTGTGTCATCCATTTGAGTTGGTTTACGGACCTCTTCAGGGTGAAACACACATATACTTTGTAGAGGGGATCCTTCCAATTTTGGGGGAAAACGACCCAATTTTCGCCGCTGGACGGCAATGGGGTGGCCCAATTCCTCTGCGAACTGTGTTTGTTGGGTTCTTGCGGCTAGGTTCAGTAAGGAACCAACACGGGGAATGGGGCTGTCTCCAAATCAAATCCGGCCGGAGCTGTGCTACACCATCTCTCAAAGTATATAGCCTCCCAGGATTCCAACCGCTTTTGCCTTTGCACTCGAAGGACTCCCGATGGCATTTGTGGAACCATTCTTCCAAGGTTGGCTTGGGACCCGGGTCATGCACCAAAGCCTACAGCAAATTACAGCAACCTATGGCCATGGGCTTTCAGTCATATGTCAGGATCTCAGGCTGCGGCAGGGCAATGCCTTGAGGTGGGCTTCAGCGAAGGCGAGTAGTTGGCCGGGCCTGACGTCGCCAAAGCGGGCGCCTTTTATGGACGCGCAGCGGTCCGTAAGGCGAGCCATAGTTCTGACCACCTGACAACTGCTGACATCGTGATTGCTTTCTGTACCCATCCCCAACCAGGCCTTTAGTGGCTTACCGAGAGCACATAGGGGGGTCTTGTTAAGGCTGTCGACTGCCGAAAGGCAGATGGCAGGTTGTACCCAGGGTTGTTTTCAAGCGCTTCAGCTTTTGTGGTAAAGTACTTGGAAACATCAAGAAAAGGATCTATTTTCTTGTGCTTTCCTTTCCGGGAGACTCACAACTACGAGTGATGTGGCGCCCAGTCCCAGAGATATTAGCTTGGTCTCCACATGCAGTTGCCGGCAGACATAACACTGGCTGGCTTGTTTCGCTGAACAAGACCCACCCCGCAGGTCCTAAATTTGGGAGCAATATTGGTCCAGAAAACTCAGACTTGGCCAGCGATCTTCTTAGAAGCTGTGACTCTATAGTTTGCAAATTAGCGGACCTTACAAATCAGAATTCGTATCCAACCAAGTAAACTACCTTGAGAGCTCAAGCTTCTTTCGAACCTCACACGCAAAAACAAAAAAGCAGTCACCGACAACCATCACTGAGACCCCCAACTCACCACTTGCCGCTGGCGCAGCGGGTAGCGGCCCTGCATGGTGAAGGACCCACAGTGCCTGCAAAGCGCGGCCCTAAGACAAGGGAACTAATTAAGACAAAAAACAGTGGCAAACCGAAAGGTCAACTTATTCATTTTGGGCAAGATTGACTAGTCCAAAACACAGGGTGTTACATTCTTGCTTCTCGGGGCTTCTGGGCTTCCAAAAGCGAAAGGTTTTGGTGGCTACTCCCCTCAATTGTGCCACTTGATTGGGATTCGTGCTCTGGCTGTCTACAGCCCCAAGTAAAGGATAAATGACATGATCATGCTTGCATCCCCAAGTAAGCAGCTCCGTTCCAGACCAGGGGTACACCGCCGCACAGCGTGGGGTAGCTGGTCTTGGGTTCCAGAAGCATCGACTTGCTGAATTGACTACTCTCCTGAAAACAAGTGTGGAGAAAGATAATCAAATCTCTTTCAGGTATCTCAAGTCAGCTCCCCTGCCTTTGCAGGCTTGACTTGTTTGGCTATTGCGCCTTTTTACCCTTCTGTCCAATCAAATTAGTCCCTTGGACCTTCTTTACTTTGATGACACCTCAAAGGTCTCTCGAACTAGGCCAGAAATTCCTGGCCAATGGCCTCACACCGTTCTATGTGCCGAAGGAGGGGGTTTGGTGGATATGTCCGCCTCCAAAGTCTGGCGACAGCTGCGAGCCAACATTCGCCAACACTGGACTCGACTGCGAGATGCCCAGATGCCCACCCCGCCGCGCGATGGGGCAAACGTCCTTCTGCGCGAAGCTGCCGGGCAGGGTGTACTGACCCGGCCCGGGGTTGTCCTCAGCCCCCGGCATTCACCCCTACATGCCGCATGCAGACATGTTTAAATGTGTGATGCAACATAGGCTTGCCTATAATGGGTAATGGGTATGTGAAGGGCAAGTGTTGCATCGCGAGTACCAACTCCAAAGGCAATTGGTGCAGCTCAACAAGATATGGTGGAGGGAAAGGGTACAATGGGATCATCGAGCAAGCATGTGCATGAGAACTGTCCACGAGCAAAGCGGCATATGTCAATAACCTCGGGCACACTTGACACATCTCGGCACAGGAATGGTGTGGACACACCTCTGTTGTACGCTTCACGAAGCCTTTACGTACCGTTGGTGCACTCCTTTTGCGCATGGCATATGGGCTCGTTTAAAACATTATGCTCATTGGAACGCCAAGCAGGCCTACCCAAAGCAAGCTCAACGCAACTAAGAAACTCAGCGGCGACGCTATGGAAATTGCCCCAGGCCGCATAGACAATCGCCAGCGAGACACTGCATCTCCACACATGCAAAAAACACACATGAAATCCCACGCAAGTGTCAGCCCAAAGGACCGGGAAAAGAAAGACGGGCCAACTGACAACCGATCACTGTGACCCCAAAGGTCAGAGGACTCAGAGGGTCGAGAAACTGGTGACTCTTTTTTGAGACCCAAACAAGGCAGGGCAGGAGATTCTATTTGTCTCGGACCTCCCACGCGAGCGCCCAATGTATAGAATCAGCCAGGAACGGGCCGTTTTTGTGACATGTGCAGCTAGGTCTGTCTTTGAGCAGCGGGGTCGTGGACCATGCGTTCAGCACTGAGAACACGACTTGCCGTTTCGCGGAGCCGCTTGCCACAGAAAGGTTGACGCGCATGGCCCTGCTCCCTCCCCTTCCATGCCGAGGGACAGTGAAGTACTCCAACATGCGATCCCCGTCCGGGTCTAGCCGCCTGAGACTATGAGACTTGTGACTTGGGGAGAAAGCGCAAGCAACAGCAGAATTCCGGGCGGTTTGGTTGGTGCCTTCCTGGAATCTGGGAAGCTTCGCCTTCGGACAATCTAGGATAAGGTCGAGTGGTACAGGAACTGGCGATTTATGACGAGTCAAATTCAACAGGCTGTGGCTGGCAGGGAGATCCTTAGGAAAGTGTCACCACAAGGAGGCTTGAACGCCATGCCGGAAATCTGGAGCCTTCACAAAGCACGTCTGACAGTGTCAAACTGCACCAAGCCCCAAATCAGAAGTGCATCCCGTAGCAAGGCAGGTGCGCAGACCTGACTTTCACTTGGTCAAGTAATCAAAGAAACTCGTGGGTTCCAATAAAACTGCGACCTTTGGAAGTCCCAAAGGAACTTAGAAGGGAACCCAAGAGGACTCCAAAGCATGCCAACGTGAGCCACATGCCCAGGACTATGCAGGATCATGCATTTCTGAATGTTCCTAAGGGTGAGCACTTGCCAGTCTGCCTTTTTGACGGCGCTGACTTTACCAAAGAAGCACTTGGCAAGTCCTTTCTTGCATGGCTAAACGGCACATTTGGGTGGTCTTGATAGAGGTCAGCGGATAAAATGAACCCTGAGATCCACGAGAAAGTTGCACCATCTTCCTTCAGGGGCTACAGATCCGTAGGGCAAACCGAAAAGTGGCGCAGTGGCAAACCAGTCCAGGGCGAACCGGCATGAGCTGAAACCCCTACAATAGTTACCCGCCCCATTTTCCAGGAGTCTTTTGGGAACGTGCGCCTGCATTGCTACCCTTGGCTTTCACCCCCTCCCAAAAAAGCCCAGCCACCCCCCCCCCCCTTCACCCCCGCCTCTTATCAAGCTCGCCCTCCGGCAGGCCATCCCTAGGCAGGCGGTTGTGCTGATGTCTCTCTGACAAAGGCGTGTATGCGTGGTGTATGCATGGCCTGCATATTATTTTGCATGGATAGAGTCGGATCAATACATGCTCCATGGGCAATGTTGGGCTTGTCTGAGAAAGGCTCCCCCTTCCGCGCAAGCCTGTGGTGATGGGCAAAGATGTAGCAACAACGAACGGTCAGTGAAGCCGAGGTGCTCGGTCAAGTCCTTGGTCGCTCCGGCGGGTTGTTCGCATTGCTGCCAGATTGTGGCGAGGCTGCAAGGAGATTTGACAATGTACTTGACCCAACTTATGGAACAGCCGGAACAGCATGGAAACTCGTTTTCGCCCGGGCATCTGATCCAACAACAGCTCTCAGAACAGCCCTGAAGTGAGGCCCATCGCTCAGAAAACAACAGCTACTTTAAGGACCCACGCACACGTCACACAAGACCCTTCCCAACCGCAGGGCTTGTTTGGTCTCATTGCATCCGTTTCTCCCCCGCGCGGATTCGTCTCGGTCGGGCCAAGGCGCATCGAGGACCCACTTGTCCAGGAAGAAGACCTCGTGGGGCTGAAGGGTGCCTTCCCCCTGGTCCAGGCACTGGAAGAGCAGCTTGCCTCACGAAAAAAATGGAGTCAGAGTTTGTCTCAAAATAGGAATCGGAAATGCAAGAAAGCGTGGCTTCAGGGGGTACCCCAAAAATTCTAAGACACAGCCATGTCAAAATTGGGTGTCCTAGCTAAGGGATGCCATAGGCTGACGAGCGCGCTTGAGTTTTCTGCTCACGTGTGCTTTGTGGAGTGGCACTTAGTACGGTATCCACCACGTGCCTCCTGAGAACATGATCGGGTACGCAAGGGTCAGAACAAACATCAAGGCCAAGCGCACGAGGATGAACAACCACGTGCTAAATAACGAAAAGACGCCTCTGCCACCGCCGTCGACGCCTTTCCTGCCCTTGCAGCAAGTCAGCAGCGCCTCACCTATGGTGCAGGCGATTATGACCAGTGCCCACGGAAGAACCAAGTAAGTTGACTCCATGTCGTGCCCAAGCCCCACCAGGCTGATGCCCAGAAGCGAGGCCAAGGCCACAAGCTCCTTGGCGCGCTCTACATTGGTCGCATCTGCCAGCGAGCACGTGAAGGGCTCGAGGATCTCAGTCCGCTGCAGCTCCCGAACCCCGTATGCAAATGCCAAGTTATCGAGCTCGAGGATGAACAAGCACGCGACTGTGTTGAGAAGAATCGAGACGCCGTCCGCGGAGTCGAACAGGATGAACAGCGGCACGCACATGAGCACGCTTGCCAAAGTGAATACCCTGGCCGTCTGAAGCAGCAGTAAAGCTCGACGCTTGTGCCCCCACAGCCCGAGTCTCATACCATCCGGCAGTTGCACACGATGGAGGTAAAGCAAGGTCTTGAAGAGCGCAAGCGATTCCTCCATGATGCAGAGCGCCGAAGCGGCCGCCACCAGCGCGTACATCACGCCCTCACGCACACCTATTCCTTTGATATTCATCTTGGCCAGTCGTGGCATGAAACCGCGGGGGCTGATACAATCCGAGCACAAGGCGTCGACGTCCGCCGTGGTCAGCGTCATATAAATCGGCTGTGGGGTGTCCAGCGAATCCGGCGCCTCCACCGCCAGCTGCAAATCCGCCGCAACCGCGCTGCTCAACGCGGTGCCGTTCACATGGCAGAATTGGGCTGCAAGGTCCTTCTTGTAACCGTCGCGAAAGCCGCATCCAAGACACATGCCTCCCGAAGAACTTCTTGGATGCTGCGTGACTGTGCACCACATTGCTCTTCCGCAGTCGTTGGCGGTTGCGCAGGCTCCGTACGTATTGCCCATGGTGCTGAACAAGCACCATGCGACCGTCAACTGCAGAATAACGATGCCGAACGCGAAGGCGAGGTGCGCGAGGCCCTGCCATGGCTTTTCGCCTTCAAGGCACAGCTTGGCCGCGGTGAAGTGCATGTCCTCTGGCGGGTCCATGGAGACGTGACCATCAGCGACCACCATTCGGGGGCGCCGCGGCCGCAAAATCATGACCATGTTTGGAAAATCCGCCGATCAAGGTTGATTACAGGTGACGCTGATCTTATTCCATGCCCTCCAGCCCTCTTCAGAGCCCGAAAAAGCAAGCCAATAAAGGTCTGTCCAGTTGTGACATGCACCCCCCCCCCCCGCAAAAAAAAGAGCTATGAATCTGCAGGGGAGTATTCGGCCTGCCTGTGACAAACAGTCGCCATGTTCAGCTGAGGCACTAAAGCCCTAGTTTGGGTTTATGGGGAATGGTCCAAACTCAAGCCTCATGTAGGGCGGCCTACACGAACAGCACGCTACGCCCATTGAGGTGGGGAGAACTAGAATTTGTGACTGGACAAACTGGAAGGATCCAACTCCTGTGATGATCCCCAGCATTGGTAACACATTTGTCGTGAGATCCTTGCTGATGCAAACTCAAAACACATCCCCCAGGTGGGAACTCAAGCCCCACCAAGCAACCGCATAGGAATAGTAAAGACTTGGCGGGGAAGTGAAAGTCCAGAAGAAAACATAGAAACCATAGCAATATCCATGTAGCAATCCTTCACCCCCATGTTTCTTTTAAACTATGCTTGTCGCATGCCCCCTGGGGCACGAACCTGTTCCCCTGAAGCAAACAACAAATCCAATCAAATGCCAAACATGCCGCGTTCCCAAAAAGCTGCTTGTAGCCACGGAATGCTGTTTTGTATGTGTGTGTGTGTCCGGGTATCGTAGATCACCTCTGCGGCCATGCCATGCGCACAGGCAAAACCAGTGGCATCCGGTCAGTTCGTTTCAGCTGAGATCAACTTTGTGAGCGGCCATGCTGTCCAGGCCCACAAACGGTCTGAATCCACGGGCCGCTTGCAACAGAAAGGAGCCTGGGGCAAGTAACAAGTAGGACTGCGGTATGAATCACAGCGCAACATGCATACATGTTGCAAGGTAGTGTTCTGTAGCGTCGGTTACTACAGAAACAGGACAGCCAGCTCACCAAAGGCCGCCAAGGTGCAGTCTCCAGTGAAGCCATAAGTCCTGCGGATGATGAGACGCTACCAGCGAACTGCTCCAAAGCAGATTCTTCTAGCCCCCCTCAGCCCCCTCCCCCCCCCCTCCCCCCTCCGCCCAATGGACCAGGCAGGTTCCGACCCAAATGGCTCCTGCAGGCCGCCTTGAACTCCCTGAAGTTCAGGGACCCGGACCCATCGGAGTCCAGGACCTGGAGGGTTGACGCAAGTTGTTCCCTCCCAAAGTGAACCCGGGACCAACTGTTCCACCTCCGGGGGTTGCACCCAGCATGTAAAACACCTGAATCAAATGCAACCTGTTGCCAGTGGTTTGGCGGGGTAGATGGATAAACAGATTAGAGCAAAACAGTGATTGAATAGGAAAAAAACACAAGCCAAACAACATGCATGCGGTAAATAGTTCAATTCATATATAATTATATATACATATATATATATATATATGTGGATCTCTATACATATAATCATTCCAAACATTTGACGATCATCTTCAATGATTGAAATGTGTTTGCCTGTACATCTCTAGCATTTCAACAACAAGGGCAGTGCCTGCTGTAAAAACAAACAAGAAGTAACACCTCCCCAGAGAGTTTCTGCCATCTTCCACGGACAAGTCCCAACCCAGGAGAGCCGAAGAAAGTCCATTGCCCCCCGAGCCACAACCTCCAAATTGGAACGGGGGTGAGTTACCACTTCTAGTACGGCTGCACCGCCTTTTTCACCTGGAAGTACTTTCGGCAATGCTGTTGATTGACAACAGCCCGAACTTCAAAGCGGCCAGCTAGCCACAACCACGCCCATGTGCAAAGGAACGAGTTCTCCATGACACTACCCTGAAGCCTGGGACAGCCTTGGAAAGCGTTGGAAAGCGCCCATATGTTGGTGAACAATCGTTGTGTCGAGCCGCCGTCAACATACGCTTGAGCGATCTCAACGCCTTGATCCATCAAGACTCTTGAGAGATGCTTCAGAACCTGTTTCGGTCCAACAACCTACCTCGTGGAAATGTGTCCTGATCTCCCAACAAGGCCAAGCCACTTTTCCTCATTTCGACCCTTCCACAAAAAAGCCTTGGAACCCTTCAGGGTGAGAAGTACCACGTGAAAGAACAAACCTATCAGGTCCCTCAATTTTCCCCTAGTGGCAGTTTCAATGCAACCATATGCAACCCATCAGTAAATTGCAACTAGAATTGGGGCCAAAGAAAGTAAGGTTGGGGATGGGCCAGCCTTGAAGGTGCTGTGCACCCCCCCGAACTCAGAATCTGCCCAGCGCTTGAACTCCACCAGGCACTCATTGGCCTCCTGACACGGCCCCCCAAATGGAAGGGTGGCCTTGTCTGGGAGAACCGGCCACCCCTGAGAGCACAACCTGAAAGAGCGCAAGTCTCAGCGAAAAAACGCACAGCCTTTTTTCAGGGAAGGCAACCGACCTTGAAGGAACTCAATAAGCAACAAGTTTATGGGGGGAGTGATGCCATGACATCCACCAAACTGGGTGACTAAATGGGAAGATAACTTTCAGCATTTCCTGGTTGTCTGCTTGGGGACAAATGAGCGAGCAACACCTGCTGGGCAACCAAGCCACCATGCATCGCTATGAAAGGGGCAGCTGGATTCAAACATGTTCATCTTGCATAAATTAACAAATGCCTACACTTGCGACTACTCAGCCTTTGTGTAAGAACGACCTCTGAACCGCCTGCGTGCCTTGGTCACAGGCTGAATGGACGACTATATTATGTGCTCGGTTGGAATCATGTGGCTTTCTGGACAAGCCACATTTCGCCGTGGGCTAGTCAAGTTATGAAAGGTGTGGTTGTGTGATGGGCTAAGTTGCTGATGCTGTGAAGCCGCTTCATCCAAAGCTCCTTCCCTAACTGCTCGCAAGCCCATTGCTCTGAGGCCTTTTGGGGAAAAAAGGGGGGCGAACTCGGGTTGGGATATGACATTCAGGAATTTGCGGATGACCCCCAACAAAATCCAACATAGCCCTCCAATAGACATCGGAATGAATCTGGAAGAGAGCGTTTGGCAATCTCTTTGTTCACGCCCGCTCACAAACGGACTAACAAGTGCTCAACATTGCATCAACCTAAAGCACTCACTCGTTCAAAGCCCCTCAAGTGAAAATGCATGCTTCGAGATCCTTTCGCGCTTGTAGGGCCTCTGACGGGCGTTCCAGGCAACCCCACCCGAGCCCGGTAAACCAACAGAAACTCCACCCCCTAAAGGCAACGTACATGGAAGCGTTGGTGTGACAAACAGCAGGCCAAGACCTTCGCATCCCTCAAGTAGAGCTAGGAATCGGAGTGCCCAATCCACCTGTACATACATACTATATATATATATGTATATATACATTAAGAAGTGCTAATGTTATTATATGTCTACACCTTGGTCCAGTTGACACCTACTCCAGCAAGAAAGCATCGCCATCGCCAATCGCTCCTCATCGATCTCCTACGGCCGGCCGCCGAGTCCAAGTCGGGTTGATGGTCCCACATCGAATCGACTGCAAAATCACCCTACTGGAAATCATGCTGCCCGCCCCCTGCTACACACGATGCCTGTTACCAATCGAAGGAAACCATGTAAAACTTGATGAAAGTTGCATAAAAAGGCCCCTGCCTATGCACTAGTCCGGGCAATAGGATCTCTCTGCCAACCAGCAAAGGCGACATCTTGGCTTAGAAACCTGTGGTTCTTTGTGGCCTTTTGCAACTGCATTCAATTGTCTGCGTTGATTCCCCCCCCCCCCCCCCCCAAAGAAGCAGCTCACATTCACGACTGAATTCAATTGATTGTTCAAAGCCGCAAAGGTATACTCGGGGCAAAAACGCATGAAAGGGGTTGTTTTTGTCGCTTGGCTGCTGGGTTCCCACTAAAATAACCAACCCAAACTCGGATTCCCTTTTTACTAGGGTCCCTGAGAAAAAATGCGACCCTCACCTTTACTGGACGTTGCAAAAGGAGACGTGCTTCTTTGTTTGTTGTGCGGCTTTCCCAATCCACCAATGGAATGGTATAGCCTGCGTGACAGCTGATATGGTGCTTCAACTTTCCCTGCAAATGTAAGTCTCAACATGGCAGTCGAGTCCTTTTTTGACATAGGTTTGACAGCAACAAATTGGCAATTGCAGGAGCCCTTGAGAAAGCCATCCACCAGGCTTTTAATGAAAACAACCTCGAAACCGCAATGTTCTCTTGCAACATGGTGTCCACAAGTTGGAAGGATGCCCATTTCTGTTTCTTCGCCCAAGAGGAGGGCCTACCGCGGGTCAGGATACTTCTACAAACCAGGGGGAAATAGAGACCCAACCAAACCGGTAGATGCACCCCGCAATCCTGTGAAATTGAGATCTGCTCTCTGCACACCCACAGGCGCTTGAACTTTCACGGGAATCATATCAAATGCTTGGCCCCAGGTGCCCCCTCCACCTGGAAGTGGGAGGGGGCCGCTGAATGCTATGTTACATGCGATGAAGGAAGCGCGGTACGCTACGAATCCAATTGCAAGATCAGTCAGTGTCAAAAAACTCCTCCTTATCATGGCGAGATGGTGAGAGATTGCCATTGTAGCAACTTTCTTGAGGTTCCCCATTCTTATCCACGACAGAAAGTCATCATGGCCTGCAAACAAACAGACCTCACAATTCATTGAAGCCAACCCTGGTTCACAACATGCTCATCGACGCATATGCCGTACGATAAGGGAAACATAGTCCAAATTCCGCCAAGCTTCGCTTCGTTTCCCTGTAGGCCTCCGAGCCTCCAAACCGCTTCGAGGCGCCGAAACGCGCGCGCGCTCGCGCGCCTTGAGAGAGATGGAGCCGGAGAGGTCTGCGTCCAGCGCCAGCCAGGCGGCCGCCAAATTCCCGTGGAACCGCACCAACTTGGCCGCCTCCGGTCCCCCGGACCTCCCTTCCCGGTTCCCTGGCCCAGGGGGGGGGGGGGCGGACCAAGTCAAACTGGTGTTCTGCATGGCTCGTTTGAACAACTCAGGCCGGTTGCGGCCGGCGCTCATTCCGCCTATAGAGGATTCGTTCATCTACTCATGATTGTAAGCAAACAAGGAACCCCTCAAAAGGGTTTCTCTCTTCTGAATTCTCAGAAGGCACTGGCTTTTCCTAAAACATGGCACTCCTCAGTCACTGCCACACACCGGCGAGTTGATGGATGTCACCCCAAGCTTCCAAACGCAACCCGGCTTACAGCGCAAGCACAAGATGACCTTTGGAGAGGAAGGGTAGGTCCTCAAAGTGTGGTGGGAAAGATAAGGCCGATTGTACATCTGGGAACAGCAGCAACGGACATGTTTGATACTTCTTTGATTACATGTCAAGAACAAAGAGAAGAACCCCGGCGAGGCAGGAAAGGGCCGAAGACATCGCCCGCCTCTTGGAACTCATGCCAATTGCAGCCTGGGGCCAGAGATGAGGCTCCAACCCGGCCCGAACGGTAGACAAAGGGAACGATTCATTGTGTTTTGATAAAAACCAAAGCAAGCAACAGCGAACGTGATGTAGCAATTTCAAGCACATTCCCAAAGCATCCCAGAGTCAGAACAGGTAATTGTCACAAGAAAGCTGAACATTCGGAAGCGCGTGTCAGCCGCTTCTGTGCCTGAGTCAACACAGGAAGCAAAGGTCAAGGGATGGCTTTGCGTAACAAAAGGGAAACAGCCCACAAAGTCAAATATTTCCACGGAGACCAATATGGGACGAAACTTTCAACACGTGCGCAAGCTTCGGTTAGGTTGGCTTGCTTTCCAGATTTGAGCAGCCTTCCAAAGAGCCCGGCAATTAAAAGATTCACGGCGATTCTCCAAGCCTCGTGACACTTGACAAACTGGCAAAAGTGTGAAAAGCTTCTGCCAAGACATCTGTCACAGACAAGGCAAATAAACAAAACAAAGCCAGACCGAGCACGACCCTCGCCTGCGTCCATGGTGCCTAGCCGGGAAGGACGTGAAACCACAAATTAAACCATATCAAACCATATCAAACTATATCAAGCCATGCCAAGCCATATCAAACCTATTGTTTGACATGGTGGGGTCATTTCACGCGTGCCAGGGCAACTCCAGCTGCCCCCTTCAACAAGTAACTCTTTATGAGACTGGAGAAGACTTGGTCATGGGACTATAATTGGGGCTCTATGAGGTCCTAGTCTGCAAGGCGGACCTGAAATTGCCCCCATTCCCCGACGTGATCACCAAGGGGCTGTTGGACCCGTCCTTGTCCATGGCAAAGCGCCAAGCCTGGCGCTCGATTTCGGGGCTCGAGCTGAACATGGATACCATAGAAGCGCTAGGTCTCCACTGTGTTTTCTCCCAATTCTCCGCTTGTTTGCTTGCTTGGAGTCATAATCATTTAGAAGTTTCAAAGAAGAGAACCCAATAAAGGACAATTCATGATGGGCGAGAACACAAGGGCCCTTTGTGAGGTCGCTACAGTTTCCAACCCAGCTGGTTCCGTGTTGTTTGCCTGCATTTGAATCTTCAAGGAGGCGGTCGCTGCTTCAAGAACGTGTAAGTGAGAGATATTATGCATTTGAGTTGTCAACATGTTGTTTTTTGCTGACTAAACGTACTCAGGTTAGAGCAAAAGGGATTCAACCTGGACTAAACACGGCGGTTGCATCAAGCAGCATGTCATGCAAACTAAGCAAGCGTCCTCTGCAGAGTGTTGCCATCTGACCTTGTTCAGCTGCTAAGGCGCACTCAGGGAGGTTGCATGTTTTTCCGCATTGCAATTCCATTGGTCTTGATTCGCACCATTGCGTGCTGCATATTGCTGCATGCTTGGGCTAGGCGGGTGGTTCTGGTAGCAGCTTCGAAAAATTCCCAGGCACACTGTTACTCAGCAGCCGATAAAAATGCCATGGTCTTCTTTTCGCGCCACGTTTGTCGATCCACTAGCACCGAAGGGACCACATTGGGACCGGATGCGGCGAGCCCATCCCAGGCTTCACCTGATATCTGATACCTTGTGGATACCTTGTGGAGATCTAAATCTGGACACCTCTACAGTTCAGAACCCTGGGCCGAACATCCAGCATGCTACACCCCAGAGCACCCCAATGGAAAGGAAATAGGGAAACTGAATGAAAGTAGACCCATCGAAAATGGCGCATGTGGACCAAGTGCGAAAACATGTTGCGAAAGCTTCACAGGAGTAGCCAGGAGTCAAAATGCCAAATCAAACCATAAGGAGTCTGCCGCTAAGTGGCCCCGGCCACATGGGACTAAGCGCCAAGGGCATGGGCGTGTATCAAACAAGGACCCACCTGAACATCCTGAACCACTTGAACGAATGGGCAGCTTTAACAGTCCGATGCGGCTGACGAACGGTGACTAGGAATACCTAGGAATGCACAAAGGGGCAAACCATCAAGCTTTCTCGAGTTGATTCGCTTCGGGAAACTAGGTTCTGGACAAGCAGGCAACCTACCAGCCAGCTTTGGGCCTTCAAGATCTGGCCATGCTTCGCCACCAGCCTGGGCGGACTCAATCAACAGCGCCACAAAACATATTCCACCAGTCGTAAACCAATTCCAGCAGTCGCCCTACCTGGAAAAAAAACTCAATCAAAGTGACACACAAGTCAGTAGAACAACAGGGCTTGTGGGAAAGCAACAGCAAACCATCACAGCAGCAATGCAGCAATGCCAAAGAAACTGAAAACACCTGGGCGACCATGCAAGGCTGACATCGGATACTGTCGCATTGAGTGCTAGATGCGAAGGTGTTCGGAAGCAGCAAGAAGAACTGAATGGACTGCCTACAGGGAAGTTTTGTTTGGGACGAACATGGCAACCTTTATTGCATTCTTACAAGCCAGGGGTTCTGTGCTTTTAAAGACGGCCTCCGCAAACCCAAACCTTGCAAGTGAATCGGCCTCCCCTGACGAAGAACATTTGTCAGGAATTGGGGTTCAAATGAAAGTGCTTGCGCCCCACGCTTTTCGTGAGAGTCGTCCCTAGAGAGCCACACCGTTTTCGCTTCCTACTGGCAGTACCCTCGGCGGGATCGGTGCGTCTTATGTCGATGTCGCGATTACACCGCCCTTTTCCTCTGAGCTACCCACTTTTGGGAAGAGCCAGGAAGAACAATTCGGTGAACGCCGCATCCGAAACAGAGGCAACCTAGTTGTGACCCGTAAGTTTTTGGCCCAACTCTTGGGGCACACGACAACAGTCCCAAAAATATATCAGTTTCGGGAGCTATAGGGAGCTATATGCAAGCGCATCTGGAATAGACTTCCCCTGCCAAGCCATCCCCCTCGCGCTCAACCACGCGCAGCTTACATCCATCAACTGCATCATGCCCCACATTTCACCCCAAGCTGTTCACTTGTGCAAATGTATCCCACGCCCACCCTAGCGCCATCCACCTTTTCAGACACGCAGTCATTGGAGCTGCATATGCAATCTAAAGCATAACCCTGCAAAGGAAATCTCAGCACAAAAGAGATCCCACAAACTCTGTTCCTTTAAACCTGCCAATGACGAAAGTTAAAGGTGCAGGTTTTCCAAAACAGATTGAGGGTAGCCACTTTGAGGCCCCTTGCTTGAGGTTTGAGATTAGGAGCGGATCCGGAAGCCGCTTTGGACTCGAAGCGCACAGACAAAAGTGCGCCGGACTGATAGCCAGATTCACAGGTTATGAGCCCAAGTCAGGCGGTGTGACACTGGCGCCATGGATGGCGCTGACTCAGGGAGGACCCGGAGAAGGACCACCCTGGAGAACAACGGAAAGGGAACCGGAGGCCGAGTCGGCCCAGTGGTGGAGGAGGTGGAGGAACCTGCCTTGATAGCCAGGCCGGATGGGTTGATTGAGGCGGCAGCTTCGACCCAATGGCCTGGAGGGCCGCAGGGGGAGCCATCGTCGATTCAGCCTGGGCCGGCAGAGAACGAGCTGTTCACTCCGGAGCAGATGAGAAGGTTGGATGAGTGGACAGCCGAAGCTCCGCTCATTCACGCAACGGGAGCTGCAACAGGCCATGGAGGTTTTGAGGGCTACATCCAGCGGTCCAATGAGGGCATGCAGGTGGAAAGGCAGTTGGCGCTGGCAGCACAACATCTAGCCCTACCAGGACCAGCGGGAGATGCTGAAGGCCCACGGCCTGCTCAACGGCAAGAACTGGGGCCGCAGCTGGTGCTTCTTGGACCTGGGGGACATCTTGAAGGCTCACGGCTTGCTCAATGGCAAGATCAAGGAACGCGGCAACAGCCGGGACTACCTGAACCAGGACGGCATGCTCAATGGCCAGATCCGATGCAGGAGATGCGCTATTACATGGCACAGATCCTGGCGGATAACCGGAGGCTGCACCAGGAGGTGGGGCAATGTCTCAGCCAAGTCCAGGACATGCAGCAGAACTGGAAACCGCCGGAGGTGGAGGCCACTCGAGGAGGTGATCAGAGTGACAGGTTTGCCACGCCTGAGGAACATGGAACCCCTGAAGGCCGTGGAACTCGAGGTGAACCTGCTGATCCTGAGGAAGAGTCCTCGGAGCTGCGTGAGGACGAGCCGACGGGCCCGAAGGACAAGTCCCTGGACATCATGCTGAAGATTGTGCAGGGCATCCAGAACATGCAGCAGCAGATGTTGGACACCAAGAAGAAGGTGGACCACGGCGATGACACGAGCGAGACGGTGAAGAATGTCACAACGGATTTGCCGAAGCTCGTGGAGTATAAGCCGGAGAGTGCTCCCATTGACCTGGGAGACTGGATTTGCGTCCTGGAGCCGATCATGGCGGACCTCAGTGAATCGTCACAGCAATGGTGGCAGCAAGTGGTGGAATCGGCGAGGAGGTGGTACGGAAGGTATCAGACAACGCCGCCGCTGGAAAGACTCAAGCTGCAGCCGAAGGACCCTCCGGAGCTTCAAGAACCGAAATGGCGGAGGCTGGAGAGGCGGGCTGTGGGGCTACTTCTTCGCGCCCTTCCTGACGGAGCGCGTGAAGAGATGGTGGCAACGAAGTCCATGACTTGCTATGCGATTCTATGCAAGCTCATGGCGAGCTACCAGCCGGGAGGACTGGTGGAGAAATCGGTCATCCTGAAGAACTTGGAAAGTCCCCCAGAGGTGGACTCCCTGGCATCGCTGGTGGTTGGGTTGAGGAAATGGATGAGGTGGAAGCAGAGGGCACAGGAACTTGGGGTGACCATTCCGGACCCCACGGTACTGGCCCGCTCCCTCAGCAAGATGGTGAAGAAAGTGGTGGAGATGCAGCCGGAGCTCTCGTTTAAGATGGCACTGGCGAGGAACTCGCTCCAGCTGGACTCCATCCCCTCTCACGAGGCAGTGGAAAAGTACGCAGAGCATGTTCTGTCGGAGGTGGAAGCGATCGCCCACTTGGAGAAGGAGGTCAAGGCCCCAGCGGGGAAGGCGCAGGCCACGGACACCCGGATCAAGAAGGCAGAGGCTGTCGACTCCAAGAATGAGGTGAAGAGCGCTGGAGAAGGTGGGAAACCCTGCAAGTTTTTCCTCACCGAGAAGGGCTGCAGGAGAGGACGTGGCTGCCGTTGGAGCCATGACCAGAAGGATGAACGCATGAGATGCTGGTCGTGCGGGGCGAGCGAGCACATGCGAAAGGACTGCCCTGTGGCGGTCAAGAGCAACGTGGACCGAAAGCCCAAGGCGGCGAAGGTCAACGCGGAGGAGGAAACGAAGAAGGAAGTCGTGACGGAGGGCCAGAAGGTTACAACTCCGAGGGCGACTATGTCGGCAGCGGTGCAAGAGGATTCACCGGGAGCGGCGAGTTCGGCATCGGGCGACAAAGAGACGGACGCAATGAAGGACGTGCTCCAGGAGGCGACCAAAATGCTCAGGAGCATCAACGTCAAGACCGGCAAGAACGGACCGGAGGACGACGAGAAGAAGCTGATGGAACTGCAGAAGCAGCTGGACGGCATGCGAGAAAAGATGCGGGTTCGACAGGTGAGGTTGTCGAAGATGGAGATTGGTGGGATGCGCGGACTGGTGGATTCAGGAGCAACGCACCCGCTGAGACCCATGATGAAGGGCGAGGACACCTCGGACTATGAGGAGAAGACCGTAGAGTTGGCGGCTGGAGAGACTTACCGCCTGAAGGTCACCTTGGGAGGAACCCTGGTTGCGGAAGACGAGCGGATACAGCCGATCATCCCCATGGGAATGCTCACGAAGGACTTGAATTGCCAGGTCAAGTGGAGCGGGAAGACATGTGCGGTGGTGCACCCTGGACGAGGACGTCTACCGGTGGTGATGAGTCAAGGCTGCCCGGAGTTGCCGAGAGAACTCGCCCTCAGCTTGATCCAGGAGCTTGAGGGGGTGAACCGCTACAGGGTCAAGGCGCTGTCAAAGCGGGATGAGGTGGACTTCATCAAGAAGGTGGTGGAGACGCATCCGGTGTTCGACGGTGTGCCGGAGGCGATCAAGGAAAAGTTGATGGTCAACCCGGCGGAGGACTGGAAACCTCTGGGATTGAATAGGAGCCGGAGGAGAAGGCTTGAGAAAAAGGGAGGTGCGATTGTGCACTTGTTTGCAGGCCCGGAGGAGGGGATTTGATTTGTCCCGAGCTTATAAAGAGCAAGGAGGTGATCCAAGGGACATCCTGGAGTATGACATCCTCCGTGACAACAGCCACGACCTCATGGACGACGAGCTCATGGGTGGCTTGGTGCGGCTGGCTTTGGATGACCGAATCAAAGCAGTGGTGGGGGGCCCGAATTGCAGGACGCGATCAGTGCTGCGGTTCTTCCCCTTGCTTAACAGGGCCAAACCGCGACCGGTGAGAACGGTGGAATATCCCTGGGGATTGCCGGGAATGGACCAAGGAGAAGAAGCCATCGTCTACGGGTCCACGCGCCATAGATGGCCGTGGGTTTTTGGTCATGCTCGCAGCAGCGAAGCGGTCAAACACATTGATATTCCTATGGTTTTTCATGCATTTGTGTTGCTTCAATCTCTGTGCTTGCAATTCCAGTGGGAATTTGCAAAACCAGTGCTTCCACCAATAGAATTGCAACTTCAACATGCTTTCACGGAATCCCGCAAACTAACTGCCGATTTCACAAAATGTTGTCGATTCATCAAAAGATATCAATTCGGCACACTGATGCGACCACCATCTTGCCACAACCTTCTGATGTGTCACCCTGGAGCAGTCCTGGAAACACGTTTTCTTCCACTGGCTGACTGCATCCGTCCGGCGGAGTCCGGGACGGCAGGCAAGGATCCCGAGAACGTGCTAGCGGCGGAGTCCGGGACCGCCCGGCGGAGCGAACTGAAGAAGGTCCAGCACATGCGTCGTCAGGTTGAGCGGCCATGGCCGGGCCACGCACGGGGAGAACGGCTAGCAGCCGGGCACCGAGCAGACGGTTCGCGACAACGTGGAGGCAGGACGACAGCGAGACTAAGCGAGAGGGCGGAAAACACGCAGAACGCCTCAAGACGGAGCAATAAGCAGACCAAAGCACAGGCAAGCAAAGGCCAAGAGAGTCAAAGG